ATTGTTTCAAACCAAATGATACATCGAACTGCTATCAAATATGACCCATGCCATAACCGATCACGAGAATCTTCTCGATTCCGAAATTGAAGAATCATTGGAGGATCTATATAAGAGAATGATCTATTGTGCTAAAATAAAATTATTTAAATGGAAAATGCCGCTCTATGACGCCACGAAGCAGTAACTTTTCTGATTTTTACATTATTTCCTTCAATTCCCCATGGGAGAAAATAAATGTTATTAATACTAAGAACTCGGATAATGATGTATTTTCTTATGACAGATAACACCCACTCGAGCAAATTCTTCAATGGATGGATTTAAGTGAAACAAGTTTACTTGAATTGGGAATTTTAGAAAAAACCATAAGTGGAATAGTGTATTACCGCTAACATAAGTTACATATGGATGGGCAGGCAACTGAAAGAGACAGAGAAGCCGTACGCGCGCCGAAACAATTACGAGCACTCGTAAAAACCATTTATGGTTCCATTAAAATCCAGAAACAATTAGGGGTTTTCAACTCTCCTGCAGATAGACTTCATTTGTCTAATCTGATTTCCGCAAGAAAAAGCATTACGCAGAATAAGTTCATTTACACAAGAACTTCGGGGAAAATGATCTATCTGTTCCAAGCTTGATTCGTGTTTTTTTTTCACTACATGCTGCGTCCATGGTAGACCTGGGGCAGAAAATCAGCCCCGAATCGGGGTTCCAAACTGCAATTCTAAAATTCAATCAATCCCTTCGATTCTTTTTTAAAGTTCCTAATGTTGATTGACCTCTTTTCCACAAATACGTTTAATTGTAACAAATAGAGCTCAGGGTTTTTAGCAGTGTCTGACAACTGCGGTTAGGTGGAAATGTATTTTTCGGTATTAGCAGTGAGAGTTGCCGTGCAGACGTTCCTATCTTCACCTCTTGATCTCTCTCTCTTTCCACCTGGCCCCGTGTCGTGACTCTATCTCAGATGCTGGCCAAGTCTCCCAAACCAATCATAAAGCTCCCCCCCCCCCCCCGCCGATGCGCATCCACCTCCACCCTTTGAGTAATTATTTTTTCATTGCTCGATCATTGTAATCGGGGATAAGCCATAAGAAATGAAAAACGCACGCTTTATTTTCATCGCCTCGACGTTGCCGTCAACACGAGACTTTGAATAGTTGAATGTAATTGTTCTTACTGTAGTCAAAACATCCAAATACTACCTGGCCCACGCAGTATTATTGACAATGGAACATTTGCACGTACATTTTATATTGCTTCATCTGAAAGTGCCTAAAGAGCTGATTTTGCAGTATTTTTTATACTTTTTTTCGGCAATGAGAAATAGTATAAAAATAGGTATAAAAGTGAAAAAATGCGCCGCCTAGTGACGTCATCTGGTGACATTTCCCATTTAAACGCATGTATTTTAGCAGATTAGATAATTTTGTCATATCTTCTGCAATAACTCAAATAACTGTTGAATTTATGAACTAATTAAAGGTATCGTCATGTTCAGCTCACTTGGTAGCGTCCATTCAAACACGGAATTAATCAAATTTCAGACACCTGCAAATTCTCAATTTAAATATTTCCTTCAGAAAATACACTAAAACCTGGGTCATATCTCCAAAATCTGGAAAAAGTAGGCTCATGTAGCCCATCACCTGTCGATAGCCGAAAAAATAATGGACAACGGCCCGGCATACGGTAGAAATGGGCTGTGACAAGAAACGAAAATGTAGGGGGTCAGGAAGTCTATAGTTATGATGATAGCAACCTGAAAATATTTTAGTGAGTAACTTGCAAGCACCCGATGACTCTATGAAGTCGAATGTTGAGTGAATGCTTTAAGCTGCGAGGCATGCATGACTGTTATTGGTCGTCACTTATACACTTTCTTGATCTGTTTATTTTGATTCTCTGCCAACTGATCTTTTCCTCGAGAGTTCATTAATATTCCACTTGCAATTAATACGCGAAGAAGAAATTTAAAACAAAACTAGAGCATGAGCATGGACAGCATTGCTTCAAATGCTCGCTTTCCAACAGTGCAGTATACAATGTAAGCTCCTAAGTGCAAGACTTCGTTTCCACGATCGTTTAACTTCAGCCGTGCTAAAAGTAAAATGGAAAATTTTTTAGTCATCCCCCATTATATAAATTCAATAAATGAAAGGATTTGTCGATTAAAAGCTCACTATAATAAGAGCACATGACTTTTTATGTAATGGATGTGAAGTTGTACACCGAGAAATCTCGGTAAAATTATTGAACTTTCTCGGTAATTTTACTGGACCTTGGTAAAGACGCCAAAATTTTTTATTGACTGTGGTAGAATTACCGAGATAAAATGGCAAAGTTACCGGGAGTTGATTACCAATAAAAGTGGTATTCTTACCTGAAAAAAACAGTAAAAATACCGGTTTTTAGGTAAGCTTACCAGTCTATCTTGGTAAAATTACCAATAATTGGTAAAAAAGTGAGATGGTAAAGGTACCAACGGACCGTGGTAAAAACGCCGAGAATTTTGTTTCAATGTATAATTGGAGAAACACTCTTGTGAAACGCGCACTTTTAATGCTTCAACTGTGCCTTTGATGCCAGGAATCTGTTCTTATAAATACTTTCGAGCAACTACGTCCCATCTGGAAATGCATGGGAAGGAGGACAATCATTCAAACGAAGAAAACAAAAAATTAGATTAGGAATACCATATCAATACGTCCTTTTTCTCAAATGATGTATCACAGAAGAGGCTGTGTATAAGATACACTACTTACGTCGCGAATCGAAATATAAATCAATTTTTTGGAGGCACTCCAAGCTCCAGCACTCGGAGGTGACAGCGCACTTTAAACATACTATTGAAAACGCGTTTATGTCGTATTTGAATTATGGACGGTAAGCTTGTCCAATAAATCTAGCGAGATAATGATAAAATCTCGATCATATAGAAGCTTTATATTTTCAGTTCATATAAATTGTGCCTCAAAATTTTGGCAAGAAGGACATTTCGGCCGATACTGGATCGCGATCACGAACATAGAGACTTGAATGCGCGGAAAGAAAAGTAGAAGAGCGCTCAAGTGGTGAATCGAGTGTGTAAAATCGTGCATTCAAATTTTGGCGAAAAAGGCGTAGTGACCTACTCAATCGTGGTCATCAACAAAGAGATTTAAACGCGTGTGAGGAAAAAGTAAGAGTCACCAAATAGTGAACGAAGTGTGTTAAATTGTGCCTCAAACTTTGACACATTTTCGCCTTCTGAATCGTAGGCACCAGAGACTTGAACGCGCGTAAAGAAAAGTAAGAGCCACTAAGTAGTGTATTTAATTAGGATCCTTTGAGACTTGAAACATTAAGCGTGGCTCAAAGATTTTTAAAAATTTAACCCCCTGTGGCGTGGCGTTACGAATTCGTAACAACGTACTTTATTTCGGGGTTTTTAAAAATTGAATCTTTCCCTTGAGCGACGATTTTGCAAAATTTCATTAGTTTTTCTTTTTTTTTGAAAAATTGATTCCCTTAACTTTGAAATTTCGAGAGAAAATTTGGTACTCTATATATTTTTATGGTAGCTACAAAATAGATTGTGTCCCCTCGAATCTGAGATCTAAAATTAATTTATGCAATAGAGGGTTAAGCCGAAGCTTTTAATTATTGACTCAGTAGTAAGTATGCCACTTGTAGCAGAATGCAGAAAATGGGCAATAGTGGGTCGCAATGGGTGCCTTTCCCTGCTGTTCTCCAGGTTTGGGTTTCCCAGCCTCGATGCCGCTGGCCGGTGACAAACGTGACTTTCCCTGATTCGTGATAGGGTTATTGGTATTTACTCTTACACGTAAGTTAAGTCGCGACACTTGGTACTTGGTCCCGCCTGCGGAAGAAGCGACCGCGGCGCGGCGCAGGCGGCACTCGGCAGACGGCACGTTGCCTTTACGGCCGTGGGAGTAAAATATGGGTCACTTCTCACTCGGACGTAGCCTCTTCCCACCCGTCCCCTCTCCTTACACCTCCCTCCCCCCACCGTCGTTGGCGTCAACCACAACATTGCAGCTGTAATGATGACCGTTGTGGCGCATCCTTCTGCCAATTACTAGTAACGCGGCACGGTGGATCCCTATGAAAAGCCGCGTATTTTTCACGCCACGCTGAGCGGCCATGTGAACTTGAATATGAGTTTACTCACCTTCAACGTCTGGTAAGGGGCCGTCCATAAATGACGTCAGGCTTTTTTCTGATTTCTTTTTCAACCCCTCCTCCCTCTGTGTTGGGGGTCATTTTTCCCCTCGCCCTCTTTCGAAGAGAATCCTTACGCAGTCTAACTATCATCCGAGGACGGCACTTAATGGTCTGTTTACATTGGTTTAAATGTAGCCATGATATTTTCTAAACTAAATTTTACTCTTTACTTAATTTCATTTTATGTATTCATTCGGTTGCTTACTCATTTATTTTATTTTTTTTGGAGGGGGGCAGCTGATTTAATAATTTTATTTTAAAAAATATGTCCAACATGTTTCAAATTACAATTGTGGAAAGCTAATTTAACCATAGTGGTGGTTAAATCAGCATTTTTGCATTGTAAAATCTACAATGAAACATGACGGTCTTTCAATTACAAAATTGTTGACTTAGCAATATCATTTTTTGGGATATCTATGCGGGAAAAGAAAAAAATAGAGACACTCAAAAACACATGAACCGATCGGTGTTGTCAATTAGAAAATAAATTCGGAAAATAGAATACGCAAAACATCCTAATTGCCATCAGGTAATACAAAGAAAGCAAACCCTCTTCCTCATCGCAAAAAACCTAAAAAAAATATCTGGTTTCAAGCTGAATCTCCCAAAATCAATCATCAGAATTCTATCATCAGCTGTTACACAGTGAGCCTGACAGTTAGACAATATTTTCATCTTCCGATGGCGCTTAAGAGATTTTATGCAAAATACGCACTTCAGATCAAGTATCACAACCCTGACTAAGATCTCATTTTCTGTTCCAGATTCCTCCGAACATGTACATGGGTAACACGCACCCTGGCTCCGTTCAAAGCGTGCCTCTGTACGTACAGGATCGTCCCCAGGGTCTGCAGATGTCGCATCCGAATCTCATCGGCGCACCTCAGGACGGAGGGATGAAGTACTCTTACGGCCCATGCATGTGTCCGGTGTCCTACTCGACGAAAGTGGAAGCCGACCAACCACAGCCTCCATCGACGCCGGAACAGCCGACGCAACCAGCCACCCCGACACGCGAGACGTACGTCGTCCAACCCGTCGGCACGACAACAGCTTAAACTTTGACAGTCGAGAGTAGATCATGCGATTGATGCGACGAAAAATGCCAAAAATTACTGCGCTGAAGCAGCGTAACTAGGGGGAATAGACTGATTTATTTTTATAAGTCAATCATTGGCGGATCCAGCAATTTGGCAACATTGTCTTTTCGCCATTTAAACCTATTGAAATGTATCGATTCTTGGAGGGGCCAGGTGCTCCAACAAGAATCGATTCGCTATCATAGGTTTAAATGGAGAAAATCCGATGTTGGCAAATTGCTGGATTAGCCTCTGAAGTCAATGCTGCCTTCAGTGTACAGAACTGTTGTTAAGAAACACGAAATCGCTTCTCTGAAGTCAGGGTGGAACTTAATTTTGAGATGAGCCCTTTCGTGCATTTAATTTTATGCTTTTCAGGGCTCAACTTGAAGTAGAAATACGCCCTTACATCAGAGGAGTATGTTGCATACTTGGCGTAAAACATACCCGTGTATGCTTCGGGTCTGTCCGGGCAGTAGGATTGTTCGTCGTCAAATCACGACATTTCATCAAATCAGTTTTAGCTGAGTTAAACTTGGTTTTTTCATCATGAGAAGGAGATAATTTCAAAAAGTGTAGAGTGAATTATCACCAAGCTTTTATTGGAAATTAATCTGAGCAAAAAAGGACCCCGTAGAGAAATGGTTGTGAGGGTCATTTTAGTATTTCCGATTCTTTGAAGAAATCAACCCTAGTAAAGTTTGAATCCTGTTGTAATTAGAGTATAATACAAAGCGACTACTTACAGTAAAATCAACTATGACCTCAGCTAATAATGCATCCAAAGAAAGAAAATCTATTTAATTAATTTATTCGTTCAAAAGACTTGATATGAAAAATAGGTTGTTTATTCAGAAAAGTCAAAACTGATTATTTTTACCAAAAGCTCATCGAAACGTTTCTCTTGAATGGACGATTTGAAATTCTTCAAATAAATTATTTTCCTATGAAAAAAACCTTTTTTACATATTTTTTTTGAAACCTTATGCATGCATTTATTTGAGTCCCCACGCGAGAGGAAGAAATCATAGCTCTAACCGTGTTAATTTCTCATTTTTTGGTGCAACCTAAATTTCGAGTCTAAGTTACAACATAACTTTTGTAATAACAATTATTTTAATCCCAACAAAAATGAAATCATTAAAACTACAAAAATTGCATTATATTTTACACTAGAAATTAATCAAGGGTAAGTCTACAATGAGACACTAACATTCTAAACGCTATGATTCTCTATTTTTTGTGCAGTTCTGCCATGCTGAGGAGAAACACCGTATAAAAATCTAAGCGTTGCTAAATTTTCACATATAAAACACGAATGTTCCGAAATTTATGTCCGTCACTTTCCTCGTACTTTTCAGAAAATTTTACTATCAAGATATATCAAAAAAATTTAAAAGAGTAATGTTCAGAACGTTTGTCGGAAATGAAAATTCTGGCCACGGCATTGTAGCAACGCCCTAACGCCCATACGGCGTTTTTCCTTCCCATGGCAGAGCTGTAACAGTTTGATCGTTAAATTAAGCCGGCAAAAAAACGGGCAGATCCATATGTAATTGGGCTTCATTGCAGTACATCCATAGTAAGTCGTGTAAGTGGTGCGAATCGCAGCATCCCTTTTATAAAGCGTGACAGCGTGAAGCGCAAGCAGCTGTCTGTGATGTCATAATTATTCACGAGTAAATCATGCATGTACATCTTTAATTACATCTGCATGGGAATTGATTAACCGGAGCGCTCCCTGTAGAGTCTACAGTCTTATCTTTCATTCTACGTTAATTGTTACCGAACCAGTCCAGTCGATTAACATTCAATCACTTTCCAGGGGAGACATTAATGAGAAAATATTTACGGCATCAGTCATAAAACAGACACGCAAATATTGACACCGGCCGGCGCGGCGGCGTGATAGGGAGAGAGGAGGTGGCATAGCAAGTGCTCCCTTTATTTTCTTGCCTCAAATTGAATTTTTATTTCTCGGTATCTGATGGCCGGAGGGATTAGAACTGGACCACTATTATTGCGGGCGTTTGAACTTTATCACAAAGAAGACTAATGGTCGAAAATAACAGTTTCGTAAAGGTTATGCCGCGCGCATGTCTTCATTACTCAGCCGGCTCCCCACGCACTTTCATTCGATACTGTAAACGAGGCTTCGCAATTTTGTTAGGGTCCAAGCCAGGATAGACGGTAAAAAAATCAACTTTAGAAAACAAATAGCCCCGAGGAATCTTTACTTTTTACACATTATTTGTTTCACATTTATTTTTTGTTTGGACGCCTTCCACTGTTGTCGAGTTTAGACTTTGTCCGGAGGTGGCTGCCACCACCTACGATGTCTTACGTGCTTCAATTATACGTGATAGTGACAGGGAAGGCAGCCACAGTATCATGAATTAAAAACTCAAATTAAGTTTGCTTTTGCGTTTTTATTGGTCGAGGAGAAATTTTGGAGGGTATGGATTCGATCGACACGAATCGATCAAAAGATAAAAACGTGGATCGAAGGACGTGAACCAATCGTCACCGATTCAATCGACTTAATTCGATCGATTTACAGGTTTTCGATCGATTTGCGAGGTTTATGAACGATTCACTGGGTTTTTTGGTCGACTCACGGGTTTGCCATTCGATTCTCGGTGTGTCAATCAAAACACGTAGATCAGTTCACGTTTTTATTTTTCAATCGATTCACGTCGATCGCATTGACACAGTTTTTTTAAAGAAAAATTTGTCGATTGGACTGGTGTCGATCGAATCATCCCTTCTGAAATTTCTAAACTAGAGAAAACCGGCAAAACCAATATAGGGATACATACCAAGGCCTTGTCTCCGCGGGACGTTTCATGGGATTTGTCTGAGGGAAAAATTTCACTTGCGAAGTTGGAAAAATATTGAGTTAGTTAATACTAAACACCGTACCAACTAAGAGTCCTTGTAGAGTTCCAGAAACGACTTCAAAAGAAGAAGACTAATTTTATTGTGTTTTTTAACGGGAATATAGCCCAGAAGTTACATTCCTGCGATTCCCGTGAAACGTCCCGTGGAGACAAGGCAAAAGAGAGCATCCTCATTTGAAAAATAGTATAGCCGTTAAAGCGAAGAGTGAAGCGTGGATAGTAAAAAGGAGTAAACGACCCCTTAAGGAGCCGACATGATCCCAGGATTGTGATCGGAGCGCGGACGAGAGTGGCCGGATCAGGAGTGAGTGATCTCGCGATCCCGATCACCGATTAATTGAGCCGGGAGAAGAGAGACGTCACGCTCGGGTCTCCGTCTCTCCGTTCGCCCTCAAACCCTTTGCTTAATTATACGTTTCCCGACCCGCCGAGAAGAAGAACAAGAAAACTATAGCAAAACGGCCGGCAAGAGTGCGAGCTCCAGACTTGACTTTCAGTTTTAATCGCTTAATTCAAATGCGGTTTATTATCGCTCTGCATCATTTGTGATGCAATATCATTATTTCACGCCCTCCTGACTTTGTCCTCTTCCGCCATAAGTAACTTCTGAGTTGGACGTATTTCTCCTGAACAGAACTGCGTGCATTATGAGATGAGCCCTGCTATGCGTGCATTATTATGGGTTTCAGGGCTCATGCCTTAATGCACATAGTACCGTTTGGCAGAAATACGTTCAGTTGATATTGTGTCAGGCTTTAAATCAACTGCCTGGAAGTATCCCAGAAAATTTGACTTGTAACGTTAAAAATGTATTTAAAAACGTGAGCGTCCCCTCACCTGCACTGATACGGATGAGGAGAGGCTCTGAGTTGTCGAGTTATAGCCTCAAAGGTTGGGGAAGTTATAGGAGCAGGCCACGAATGCGGTAGAGATTCTTGTTGTCTACAGTACTCATCCGATGTAACCGTAATCTAACAGGTAGGATTTTTCTGAATCGAGTCTTCTTCCAATTCGGATCAAAAAGGAGAAAAAATAAAGAGACCAGGCAGAGGAAGATAAAGAGAGGAGGATGAAAAAAAAGAGGAGGAAGAAAAAAGGGAGATAGAAGAGGGAAAGGAATAAGGAGAAGAAGATCAATAAAAAGACGAAAAATTGATTTTCTTCTGTCTCTTTTTCATCTTCCTCCTATTCTTCTTCTTCCTCTTCTTCTTCCACATCTTCCTCTTTTTCTTTCTCTTCCTCTTCATCCTATTTTTCTCTTCATTACACCTCTTCCTTCTCTTCCCTTTTCTCCCTCTTTTTCATACTCTTTCTTTTCTTCTTCTCCTCTTCCTCTTTTCTTTTCTTGTTCCTCTACTCCTCATCCCTCTCCTGCTTCCTCGCCCTCATCTGACACATTTTAGGAGTCAAGGCCTAAGTCTGCCCCAATAAAAGCTTAAGACATTCGACTGAATGGTGATGGTAAGAGCAGCCCGAAGGGACCAGCGCAAGGTGAGATAAAAGGGGAGGAGTCCAAAGGAGAAAATGCGAAAAAGGGAAAACTCATTCAAAGCCGATAACCCGTAGAAAATACCTATAGAAGAATGGCGAATACACAGGATCAGAATGCTATGATCAAAGGTCAAGTTGATATATTATCGATGCCAGAAGAGCTGTAACCTGTTTCCCTAGAAACGGCGATGTTTCACGAGCGCCCAGCCCGCGCCGCGCCGCGCCGGCATGGCCGGCACCGGCACACCGATCTAGGTTCCTGCGTCGCCGTCGACCAAACCGTGAATTCCTTTACCTAGATTTCAGCTTCCACCGCTACCTGCCGCCCGCTCCTCCCCGACGTGCACTCTCCCCTAAAAGCTCTGTCGCGATGCCTCCCAGCTCAACGCTGCACCTGTCGCTGCCAAGTTCACCAGATAAACACTGACATTATCGTTTGATGACTCTTGCTTTCTGGGAAATTTAGCAACGGGTTCAGCAAACCGGAGAGTCGCGACCCTCCGCGGCTGCTCATCGCGGGGCCTCGAGCCGGCCCTGGCCTCCAGTAAAAGTTTTCACTCTCACACTCTCCTTTTTCTCGACCCACCTTCCCGGCTTCCTCCAGCACGCCGCCTCTATCCTCCCTGATTTCGATAACCACTTTCCTCTCGACTCGCACCTGATTCGAGCCAAGGCGAATTAGCGTGCCAATCTGGGAAATCTCTTTTAACCTTTGCAGGGCAACCTCTCCCGTGCTATCTTTCTCAACTTGCGTTTAAGTCACTGGGCTTAAGGTGATTCGATAGACGCCATATTTTGTATCAGAACGGCATGCGATGTATCGCATCAATTGGTTCCATTTTTTCAGGTACTCGTCATTTTTCTCCAATTTTGAGATCGCAATTCTGTTGTCAGGAGACTATAGCACTCACTTACCAATTTTCCCAAAGAAATTCAACGTAAAAAGGCGTGGTTTTTTTAGAGAGAAAACATCGCATTCGAGTGCAGTTTCGATATCAGTATTGAATGCGATGTTTTCTCTCTGAAAAAACCACGCCTTTATTACGTTGAATTTCTTTGGTAAAATTGGTAAGTGAGTGCTTTAGTCTCCTGACAACAGATTTGCGATCTCAAAATTGGAGAAAAATGACGAGTAGCTAAAAATTGGAACCAATTGATGCGATATATCGCACGCCGTTCTGACACAAAATATGGCGTCCATCGAATCACCTTAACGTCGAACCCACAGAGCATCAGGAGGTAAGGTGTTACCCTTAAGTTTTCATTGTTCTCTTCTATAAGGCGAGTTAGAGTGCTGATTTGGGAAATTTCTTTTAACCTTCGTAAGGCCACCTTTCTGCCGTCCTATGGAAAAACGCCGTATAAGCCCCCAGACTTTGCCACATTTCCTGCAATAAGAATCTAATTTAACGGGGAAATTGCGAATATTTTTCTTCAACATTTTCAGACGATTTTGTTCGCAATTTAACTTAAAACACCTGCAAATTTTGAGGAAAAATATGCATGCCTTTCCTCAGATACACATGCTTTATCCGGATAAATTTGGCAAATCTCTAATTTTCATA